TCCAGAGTTTAGCAACATTAAATATCAGAAATATGACTATATCATCTGACTAGTCTTCTTTCTTATGCAGATATTGGCCAAAATACATGACTATTTTCAAAAAGTGTCCAATTTTTTCAGTATTTTGTGTTTTTCTCAATAAGGAAAGATCTGTGTGACATCATTTATATATATTTGTAAAGCTAAGCAAAGGGGCTACAATTATTGTTAATAAAGCTAAGTGAGAGGCTGTGTTTCTGGTACTGTGGGAAATTTGACCCAAAAAGGAAATTAGTTACAATTTTATAGAGCATGCTGTTATATTTCTCAATGTGGTCACAAAATGTGACTAGCTATTTTCTTTCCTGAGATATATGCAAAGACACCTATTTATTCATGTTTTTTTATGTTTTTCTCAATAAGAAAATCATTGGGTTAGATGATTCCAGTACATTTAGAAATGTATAACAAGGGGCTATAATTCATGTACTGTGGGAAAAAGTTCCCAAATAAGGAATGTGGACATGCCCTAAACTTCCTGGGTACTTCAAAGCTTCTGGTAAACAATAGTAAACTTTCCCTTTTGAACTTGAACTACCATCATCTTGCTTTGCTGGCACCTTGTTCACTCCATTCTGAGTCAACCACTCATGCTACTGCTACAATTCTTTTTGCTATGGCTTCTAGGCCTTCTCTGCTACACTTCTATGCCCTCTGTGTTCTCTTCCAAGACCTGGAACATGCTCAGATCTGGAAATACTGGTGTTAACTCTGAACTTGGTCATTTTTGGCCATGTAAGCCTATCTCTATATTTCTGTAGGTACTCTGCTAATCTTTCTACATTCTAGATCAACAAACTCCCTGTTCTCTGGCTATTCTGAGCCCAGAGGGTATGTAACTTGCTCTTTTTAGTGCATATTCTCAAATTTAATATATTTAACCCAGAAAACACATCATTGGCTTTCTGCCAGTTAAATCCTATGGATTTCTATGCCATCTCTTCCTTAAACTATGGTAAGACCTTAGCTTGATCATATGCAACTTAGGACTGAGCAATCTTTTAGATCTTTTACACTGGGATCAAGGGAGTTTTGGCAACTACCTTGATCCCAGTGAGGTTGATTACAACCCTAGCCCTTGGGCACCCTCTATAGTGATTGATCTCAATCCAAGCCCTTTGGCAGCCAACCATTTGGTTGGGCCTCTTCCATTCAACATGGTTGAGAGAAAAATACATAAATTATATACTCATCCATTTGTGGTTGAGAGGCAAGGCCTTTTGGCACTCTATACTCATCCATTTATGGTTGAGAGGCACAATAAATATGCTCTTCCATTTATGGTTGAGAGAAAAAGGCAAAATACATATGCTCTTCCATTTATGGTTGAGGGAACAGATATAGCTTACCCAAATATGAGATATGATGATATATATAAGTACAAATCAGAGGTAATGCCCTTATACTGGATTGCACAAAGCTCATGGTCAGAAACTTTGATTTTGAAAAATGATGGCTTTTCTACTTGTGTTGAACTTAGCCCTGAGCTATGTAAAAGTGACTACACATTTTCTGAATATTTAGATTTAAAACTTCATAAGTTGTGGTTGCATCTAAGATCTTCCCCACTCTTGGAATTATATGTCAGATCTTTTTTGACTCTTCTCAGATTATTTACCATTATTTCTCAAAGAGATTTGGTTGCAGTAAAATGCCAGGAACTTGATTTGAAATTGAAAAGAAATATATTAAGATCTTATGACTTTGCTGCTCTTATGAAAAGAATTGTTGGATGCTCTACTATTTTAAAATTTGCAAATTACATTGTGTATTTGATAATATTTTACCATGTCTCAGCTTTTCAGTATTTCAAGTTCTCAACAAAAATCACAAAAAATTGTGTATCATGATATTTGCTTTATCTGTAGTATTCTTTTTGGAGCTGGACCTTCCAGGGTTTAAACCAACACAAAGTTTCAATCCACATAATGACTTGGTGACTAAAAATGAAATATTGGGGGGTGGCTCTGCAGGTATATTTTCAGCTGAGAAGCTTTCTTCATTTGCTATAAATGAGGTGAATCTACACTAACTGATCAAAAGTAATGTCACATGATTTTTTGGACAAAGTTGGTGCTATAACACAAGAACCAGACATTTTAAGAACTAAACTCTGGTGCACGAAACATAGCTAAAGAGGTGTAGATTGTATATACCAAGTCTGGGGATGAACAAATAAAAACTCAGGATAAGGCAGGGCATTGACTGTGACAACTCCCAAAAATGGGATGTGACAAAGTGGGAAATTCTGAATGACTCCAACCTACTGGAAGCAATTCACAACTTGAGGAAGAGATATTTTGAACACTGGATCTCCCTACTATTGTTATGAGCTTCATAAAGTCTTTGGGCTAGAAAATTCTATATCCTCCCCTAAAAGGTAAATTTGAACTTGTTGTCAATTTATGTATTTTTCATGTAATATATTTGTTGGAATGAGGTAAAATGACTCCCTATCAGTGTTTGTAGTGTGTATAATACAAAAGGTAGGTAGAAATATTAAAATGAACATTGCATAATGTCTGTAGAAGCTAATTTCCAGAGTTTTTCTGGAAGTAAACAAGTATCTACAGCATTGGTCCTTCTTTTCTGCAAGAAGAAAAAATGCTACCATCCTTTTGAGTTAATCCATGGAGACTTGGGATGTCTTTCAAACAATGCCTGAAGTATAGCATGATAGCAAATAGATTGTCACTGGGTATAACTTGAAAAGTCCCCAATAAAAGTACATTTTGCATAGAGCAATCATCCTAGACCAATCCTTGACATTTTTCTTGGTGAGTTGGGGCTGAAAATATTTTACAAGGCACTTCTCATGCCTACTAACACCATCCTAAAGAAATAAACAGAGGTCCTATTAGACAAGGATGTGAAACCCCCACACCTTTCTTGCTGTGAAATGGATGAAGTTTTAGCTTTCATTTATACTGGTCCTTGCAAACCTACAAAATCTGACTTTGAGAGAACTCCTCTTCTTGTAAGACATAAAAAGGTGGCTGCAGCTCTAGAGTGGCTTAAACTTAACCACTGTGACTATTTTGATCTCGAAATATCCTACAAAAATCTTAGAGAATATCCTGAGGATAGTCCACCAGTTGTAGTGGATTATAGAGAGTCATCTTCAAACAAAGATCCAGAGTCTACAGCTATTAATGATATAGAAGAGGAAACTGGAACTGAAACTGGCCAGTGTCCATTTGTAGTTCATGGATTGACTGGTGAAGAATATTCAACAAAAAGCTTAAAAGCACTGAAAGCCATTGCCCTTCAACATTTGACTTCAAATAAAAAGATATTAGCTGTGGGCCATGCACAAGAACCAGAGTCATTATACAATAATCCTCAGTTATTTCCTCAGATGTGGAAACACTCTCCAGAAGGGGCATCTGTCTGAAATAAAACATAAAAGGCATCTTCTCATGTACCATGACAAGCGCTTTCAAAAGGATTCTCACTTTGCATTAATTGCTTTTAATCATGAGCAAATCAAACAAAGTACATCTTCAGGATACCTGCTTGCTGAGACTCCAAAATTTGACAATATTTCAAAAAGACTTATGGATGTTGATGTTGAAGTTCTAAGTGACTTGATCCAAAGAATGGAAGATGGAGAGAGAGTAAAGCCTGAAACTGATGAAGAGTCCTTGTGCTTTCAGCTTATCAAAGACTTGGATCATGTCTCAGGAAGAGTTCAAGGCTCAACCACCACCAAAAAATATATGTGCAATGAAATCTGGTCTCTCATCTCATTCATTGGAGCTCCATCTTGGTTCATCACATTCTCTCCAGCTGATAACATGCACCCTATATCATTGTACTTTGCTGACACTAAGGAAAAGTTTAGTCCATTGTTAAGAGAATATGATGAAAGATACAAATTAATTGCAAATAATCCTGTAGCTGGTGCTAGATTTTTTCACTTCATAACTGAGATGTACATCAAGCATGTTCTTGGTGTGGGTGAAAAACATAGAGGACTGTATGGAGATACAGAGGCATTTTATGCAACAGTGGAACAATAGGAAAGATTGACTTTACATTTGCATATGCTACTTTGGATCAAAGGAGCTTTAACTCCTCAGGAAATCAGAGACAAAATCATGGATCCTTTCTCAGACTTTCAAAGGAAAATAGTTGAATATTTGGAGGCTGTTCACATTGGTGAATTTATGACAGGGTCCATGGATAAGGTGAAACATGAGGTAGAGATAGAGAAAAATCAAAACACAAATTATAAGGATCCAACTCAGACTTTACCTGAAGCACCTCCTCCATTTTGTGACTGCAATAATTGTGAAAAATGTGAAAATCTTAGCACCTGGTGGAAAGAATATGCAAAGAGAGTAGATGATCTGATTCTGAGGTCTAATGTACATGATTGTGGAAGGAACAAATCAGCTGGTGAAAAAGCTGCAAAGAAGGATAGACCTACATGTATGAATATATAGGGAAAATGTAAAGCTAGATTTCCCAGAACATTGTATGATCAGACAGAGGTGGATTCAAACACTGGGGCCTTGAATGTTAAGAAAGGAGAGGAATGGATTAATACTTTATCTCCTCCAGTCACTTATCTGCTCAGATGTAACTCAGATGTAACAAGCCTTCTATCTGGTACAGCCATCAAAGCTATAGTGGCATATATATCAGATTATGTGACCAAGCCTGGGTTAAAAACTTATGCTATATTTGATGCTATTAGGAGTGTATTTAGGAAGAAAAGAAAAGGCAAGAAAAATTGTAACACAAGCTAGCAATTGTTTAACAGCTAGGATGGAGATTGGAGGGCCTATGGCTGCTCTATATCTTTTGGGAAATCCTGATCATTATACTAGTCACAAATTTGTAGTGGTCTACTGGAAAAACTTTGTGAGGGAAGCTCTAAAGCCCTTCAGATCAGAAGAAGACTTGGAAGAGGAGTTACCTGAAAAACTTGTGCTTCAAAAAGGCAAAGGTGAATATGTGGGCTTTTCATCAGTTCATGATTACATCTATAGACCAAAAATATTTAAAGATAAGACTCTGTATGAATGGGTTCAAATGTCTACCAGATGCAAAGTAGCCAATAGCTCCCAAGACCATGATGAAATTACAGATTCAGATGATGAACTTGACTTGTTAGAAAAAATTGAGCAAGTCAGTACTGATGTACTACCACAACTTGTTGATGATTATGATACTGATGGAGATGAGCTCAATATAAATAAACACTCAACCAGTATTGAAGCTGATGATAGTGATGATGAACTTGTCAGTGAAAACAGAGTAACCTACCCATTTCTTAGAGATCATTAGTGTTTAAAGGTTCAGTTCAGTCCGGTTTTTTGCCCTGAAAACGCGCAACCGTGGACCGCAACCAGTCCAGGACCGACCCAGATATTGAGGGAACTGAACCGAACCACCTAGGACTGGTCTTTTGCAGTCCATGATACCGGTTCAGACTGATCCAGACCGGTTTTTTTGCGTATAATTTATTATACCAATATAAACCATTTGTATCTCAACCATTATTACTCTGAAAAATAAACGGGTTATATAAAATAGTAAAGCATATAAATACCCATCATTCTACCAATTTTCAAGAGATTTAATGAAGATGTGACATAGCTATGACTGAAACCGAATTACATCTCATAGAGACTCGGGTAAAATATGGATTTGGTTATATCTTTCTCAATTCTTAACTGTTTTTGATAAAACAAAAACCCAATAAAAGGCAATAAATGTGGTTACAAGGCTATGTAACACACGTGACCGTTTAACCGGTTGCAACCGATTAAAACCGGTCTTTGAACGGTTTTAAAAGATTTTCGAAATGAGGCAACCAGCAACCGGACCAACCCCAAATTGGGGGCAACTGCAACCGAAAAAAAGACTGGACCATGGTCCAGTTCAGTTTGGTCCACCGGTTTTTTGCGGTCCTATGGACTGAACCTTTAAACACTAGAGATCATCCTCTCTATAAAACACATCAAGCTCAATATAATGAGAAAAAAAGTAATGTTGTCCCCAACTTTGTTGGAGGCTCACTGCCAAGATGTGACAGAGGAGACAGAGAGTATTATTGTGCTACCATGCTTGCTTTGTTCAAGCCTTGGAGAACTGGTCATGATCTGAAATCTGAGGAAGACACTTGGGATGAAACCTTCAATGACCATGAATTCACAGCTCAACAGAAGCAATATATCCAGAACTTTAATATTAGATATGAGTGTAATGATGCTAGAGATGATTTTTCTGCTCAACAAAAAAAGGAAGATTCAGAAGGAATATTTCCCCAGTGGATGACAAATGAGACAATGTTGGATCTTGATGAATTAAATGCATATGATGGTGCTCACTTTGGGGATGCAGAGTATGATGAAAATGATGAAGAGAATACTCAAAATAAATATACAGCACTTGGAAAATATGGAAGGGCAAACCAAGAGCAAATGAATGCTACAAAAATTGCAGTAAAAGAAGCTGGCTGGATGGATGAATCCCCAAATGGAATAGATGAAGTTGACAAGGAACCAATTCAACCTGATATATTACAGTCTAGTTCTAAATGGAAAGCATCTGTTGATCAGAAAAGACAGGAGGAGTTGGCTCAAAGAAATAAAAATATCCCAGCTCAGAAGAATATCAAAATCCAACAGCTAGACCCCAATGAAAATGATGTAAAAATTATTAACCAGTCTTACCTTAGAAAAGACTTCAAAGCCAAAGAAAAATCAGCACAAAGGCTGATTGATAAAGTTGTAAAAAAATATTCCCTCAACAGAGAGCAAGAAAGAGCCTTTAGAATTGTTGCAAATCATGCAGTTCAACCCCAGACTGAGAAATTAAAAATGTATCTGGGTGGCATGGGTGGTACTGGAAAATCACAAGTCTTCAAAGCCCTCATTTATTTTTTTCAACAGAGAAATGAGTCTAATAGATTCATTGTACTTGGACCAACAGGATCATCAGCTGCTCTTCTGAATGGATCAACTTATCATTCATTTTTGGGTGTGCCAATGAGTGGAATGGGTATCAGAAATGAGGCTACAAGCATTGCTCAAGTTAGAGCTAGACTAGATGGAGTTGACTATATATTCTTAGATGAAGTATCAATGCTCTCATGCCATGACATGTATAAAATTGCTGCACAGCTGGCCAAAGCACTGAATAATTTCAATGAGCCATATGGTGGTATCAATATGATATTTGCTGGTGATTTTGCCCAATTACCACCTGTTGGTGGTCAATCTCTATACAGTCACTCAGTTGGAACACAAGTCCATTCAGGCTTGAAGCCAGGTGGTCAAGAAGCAGCTGTAGGAAAAGCTCTCTGGCATCAGGTTACAACTGTAGTCATACTTAGAGAGAATATGAGGCAGAAAACTCAGACTCCTGAAGATGCATCTCTGAGAAAAGCATTGGTCAATATGAGATATGGAAATTGTACTGCTGAAGACATTAAATTTTTGAGAACTCTTCAAGCCAGTAAAAAGCCAGGAAAACCTAAGATAGCTTCAAAGGAATTCAGAAATGTGGCAATTATATGTGGAAGACACACACAAAAAGATCAAATCAATCAAATGGGGTGTGAAAGATTTGCTGAGGAGACAGGCCAAAAATTGACCCATTTTTATTCTATAGATAAGTGGGGAAAGGATGCTGATCCAGCTAATAAAACAAAGTGGGGAAAATCAAAGGCTGCTTCAAAATCAAAGCACAAGTCAAATGAAATTGATTTTGATGATCAACATCAAATCTGGAATGTCAGACATGGGTCAACTGAACACTTTGCTGGAAAGCTTTCACTCTGCCTTGGGATGCCTGTGATAATTAGAAACAATGATGCAACTGAGCTGTGCATAACAAAAGGTCAAGAAGGATTTGTGGTTGGATGGCAGGCAAAGAAAGGTCTACATGGAAAGAGAATACTGGACACTCTATTTGTAAAATTGGATAAGCCTTCAAAAACTATTCAAATACCTGGGCTTCCAGAAAATGTAGTGCCTTTAGTTAAGGGAACTAAAACTATTACATGTACATTCCCTAGTGATCTGAAGGAGTCTATAGAAAGACAACAAGTCTGGGTTCTACCTAATTTTGGAATGACAGATTATGCAGCTCAGGGAAAAACTAGACCATACAATGTTGTACATCTCAACAGCTGCCATACTCATATGTCTTACTACACTTGTCTCTCCAGAAGTGCAAGTGCAGCTGGAACCATCATTCTGCAAGGCTTTGAACCCAGCATTATTACTAGAGGATGTGCAAAATATCTTAGACAGGAACTCAGAGAACAAGAACTTTTGGATGAAATTACCAGGCTTAGATATGAAGGGTCACTTCCTTCTTGTGTTATAGGATATACAAGGAATTCATTAATCAGAAATTTCCAAGACTGGAAAGGTACAGAATATGTTCCAGAGAAAACAGATGCATCTTTGAGGTGGAGTGAAAGTGATCCAATGGATATACTACCTGTGGTTACAGACAGTCCATGGCAGATAATCAAGAAAGGCAAAGATAAGACAGCAGAGCAACCCAAGAAACCTTCAACATTTGTCCCAGCCAAGGGATCAGTTGCAGTCAAGCATAAGCTGGATGATGATGATGAGATTAATATAAAGAAAAAGAGTAAAAAAATAGTGAAGCCTAGGTCTAGCATCAAGCTGGGACTTCAATGGGATAGTGTAAATTACAGTTGTGCCTATGATAGCCTATTTGTGATTTTATATCATATTTGGAACATAGATCCTCTGAGGTGGACTACAAATTTTACAGAGATCAACCAAGATTATCTAGGTGCATTGGCAGCTGGTTTCAACAAGGTGCTTCAAGGAACACTTACTTTGGAAAATGTAAGAGATGAACTTAGACATGAACTTAGACATGATCTTCATAATTTAGATCCTATCAAATTTCCTATGGGCAAAACAGGAGCCAGTGTTGGACAACTTACATTTGAAATGCTTAAGTATGAAAAAAATAATGCAGTGGCTGAAATAATATGTTCAGACTGTGGAAATGTAAATGAAGT